GGGCGGAATATAAAGTGTTGTTATTGTTAAGTGTAATTATCATAAAGCTTTTGATAGAAGTGACCCAAGCAACAGCAATAGCCTTGGGCTGGAAAGAGCAGGAAAAATGGGAATTAAAAAATGGTTTGAATATTTTGCAGACTGTATACTCCAGGGTTACATTTTTGAAAGAAGGTTGAAATACACAACAAGTGGCTGTAAAAAGAATTGGGATTCAAAATGGGGAACTCTGATAGCTAGAATAAGAGGAAAAGGTAAATAGAGTAGAATCTTGCTTATCCAACATAAACGGGCCAGTAGAACGTTGGATAAGCGAAAATGTTGTATAATAAGGAGGGATTAAAGAAAAGCCTTTTAAATGTCATATTACATTATGATTTTACAAATTAAGCACAATAAATTGACAGAAAAAGCAGTTCAATACATGGTAATATTATATAGTAATTACTGTATTACGAATTTAACACCAAAACATTGCAATGTATTGAAACAGTTGTGGATCTGGGCAGGAGGAAGACTGGGCTGGATAATACAAAACATTGGATGAAGGGTTGGATAAGTGAGACTCTACTGTATAAAAAAACAATTGATCATTTCAAATAATATTTAAATTGAAGTTACAACTGTTTCCAGTGGGTAGAGTGTGAAGGAAGGGAGGGAAGAAAAACTGTTAAGACACAAGAGGTTGATAAGTGTGGAATTGGGATTGGTAAGGTTAATGTAAATAAGATACATTATATTGAGAAAAAATGCAAGTGGAATTTCATTATCAAGATTTGTATTACCTTATTGGTTTCCACAATTAATAAAAAAACCCAAAAACACACATACATGCATACATACATTTATTTCATGAAAGAATAAATATGCAATGGCCTGTAACATTATGTGGTGGTCCCTTCATAATGCACAGTTCTAGCACTTTAAATGCATTGGGTACATCCTATCAAATCCTGAGGTTTATCATTTGGAGATGCACTAGAGGAGTTACAAATTTTAAATTTCCCTCCTTAAATAGAAAATCCCAGGTTTTCAGAGGATGACACTGCAGGCATAGTGAATCAGAGCACTATAACTGTATGAGCCGGATCTTGATACCCCATCTCCCCCCCCCCCACACACACACACACTTCTTTTTGTATCCTTGCCACTTTATGCCCATGTACCTACAGCCAGCCCTCCACATTCATTAGTTTTTACAAATGTGATTATTTGCAGTTTTGTTGCCCACCCACTGAGGCCACGGTGTGCTCTTGTGTTCCCATGGCTTCAGGGTGTAGAGCAGCAGTAATACCAGTCATCACCCCTCCCAAAGTCTGTTGCTTTGCAGATGCGGGGGGGGGGGGTGCGGGGCGGGGGGTCCTAATAACTGTTGCTGCTGCTCTGCTTTCTGTGGATTCAGCGACAGTGCAACAGTGATCTAGGTCACTATCCCCCTGAAGTCTGCTTCTTCATAGACTTCATAGACTTCAGGGGGAACAATTTGGAGATATTGACATTTTTTTCCTCTTTTGTGAGTTTCTATGTCTCTAATCCCCAGGATTGTGGTGGGCCAACTGTAGTTCGAAACCACAGCTGTTTGGTCAGAAAGCTTTCAGATTCTTTATAGGAAAAGGAAATATGCCTCTCCAAGGTTCTCTGCAAGTAGTTCTCATCACAGAATAATTAAAAGGGCAAACAGTAATCTGCAGTGAATGCATTAGTTCATTAAGCTCCTAAATAAATAAATAGATGAAGCTTGCAGGACTTCTTAAAATGCCTGTGCTCTGCAACGTGAAGGAGTAATTCTTCATCTTAAGCACTATGCGCTTGTACAGGTGGGTGACCCACTGAGGCACTTAACTCTCAGCATATAAGTAGATTTATCTCATTTGATAGAAGCAATTGTGCAGGCGGCTAAAATCATGCTTTAGTGCTCCACTAGTTTACTTGACTGAAAATGTTCAATCTCTTGTTGAACTTTGATTCAAAATGGCATGGCAATTGGTGAGTTTTATTCTTGATTTGCCACTAGAATGCCTCAGTGAAAGTATAATTATTCTCTTTTTCAGAGTCCTTTAAAGCAAAAATAAATTTGCTGCTGGTTTGATGTTATGGAGTTCATTTTTCAAAAATGTATTTTATAGTTAAACTTTTTCCTAGCATAGGATTCAAGTTGGTAAATTAAGTATATTAACTTCATGGTAAATATATTAAAGGTACCAGATGCTGTCGAATCTTGGTAAACTAAGGAGAATCAGCTGTGGTTAGCACTTTAATGGGAGACCACCAATGAATACCAGATGTGTAGGCTATATTTCATGGGAATGAATATCTATGAGTATTCCTGCTAAAGAAAAAACTTTCAATCCATGAGGTCATCATAAGTCAACCGAAGCCCTGAAGGCAACATATGCATTTGTACTCTGAAAGCCAGTGGGGTGAATGCTTGAATGAAGACTGGGAAACCAGATATTGTATTGCAGTTTGTTCATGGAAACCAATTCAGTGACCTTGGGCAAATTATCTCCTCTTAACGTTCAAATGGCATGGAGTTATACACCCACCTATTGCCATGCCACTTGGTATCAAAGATTCTTCTCCATACAGAGTTTGGAAATATTACCTTTTTAGATTACAACTCCCATATTCTTCCAGTTATCATGTGTGATTCTGAGAAATGTGGTCCAAAAAGGAAAGGGTGTGTGTATGGGGGGGGGGGGGGAGAAAATATTTCCAAGCCCTGATAGTCTAACAGAAAGGTTTCCTCTATTCTCCCATACCTTAAGAGAATGCAAGAGGGGGGCTTGTTACCATCTTGTCTTGTGCCCAAAGACCTGACTGCACTGTAATCACTTCACCAATGAAAGAAATGCCTCCCTTTGTTCTCCCATTGCACTAGCTTGGAATAGGACGGTAAACATGTACTGAAATTCAGTCATAGAGTTCCTTCCAGGAAGACATTCTGTGTGTGGACTTCAGTGGAAGTCATTCACAAACTGGCTGAACATATAGTTATCAGAAAAATTGTCACTGTGTATACGGGGAGTGGAAATAATGAAATCATTATAACTAAACCCAGTAGCCCCAAGCCTTATTCCATGTTCTTTCAGTGAGTTTGTATATGTGGTAGTGATATGCCAGTCTTAAAGAAGGTCAATATTAATGCTTGCATATGTTATTACAACAATCTGCAATCATGTCTTAAAGAATACAATGCTGCATTAGAAGTCCATGCAGACAGTGACCAATATTGGCCTGTATCCAATAAATTTGGATTTTCCTAAATTCTGAACCAACATTAATAATTGATTCAATGTGTCTAATTGAGAATTTCAGTCAATATATTAAAGTACTTTTTAATACTAAGATACTGATATATCAGGAATATAGGAAGTCATCTCATACTGAGCTAGATCATTTGTCCATTTAATTCAGTGTCATCAACACTTTGAAACTCTTCCATGATACAGGCAAAATATTCCCTAGATCTATTTAACATCTATACAAAACTGCTTTAAAAGGTTGTCCAGACTGTGTTTCCCTCTTACGAGTGTACTAGAATTCCAAAAGACCCTTCTCTCTGTCCCACCACCTCCCTAGGCTCATTTTGTGAGAAGATGGAAGAGGGCCTATTTCAGTGTCTCATCCCAGTATTTGGAGCCCCCTTCCTAGTGAGGGGGGTCCTAGAGTGACCCCCCCCCCTTTGATCTTCTTCCACAGGAACTGTAAATGTTTTTGTGGCACCAGATTTAAAAAAAAAATTGAAGTGGACTTTTAATGGTTTGTATAATCCTTTATTGATTTATAAGGTTTTATAATGTTTAATATTTTAATTTATAAATTGCATTTTTGGTTTAAATCATCTTTTATATTTACACTTTCATCATTTTCTGCATAGTTTTAAAATTTCTGTTGTCCTTGATTAGCCTTCTTGAGTCCCATTTTTGGGACAAAGGAGCAAGGAGAGTTATGAAGGAATTGGACTGCAAAGGCTCTGGCATAAACCAGTACAGCTGGTCCCAGTGGTAATCGGCACACTGGGTGCCGTGCCAAAAGATCTCAGCCGGCATTTGGAAACATTGACAAAATCATGATCTATCAACTGCAAAAGGCCACCTAACTTGGATCTGCACGCATCATTCGAAAATATGTCACACAGTCCTAAACGCTTAGGAAGTGTTCGACTTGTGATTTTGTGATACGAAATCCAGCATATATATCTCATTTGCTGTGTCATACTATGTTTTTGTGTCAATAACAACAACAACAACAATAATGTATTCATAATTAAATTTCTATCTACTCAAGGGCTATATTTTTCTCAGTGCCCTACTTCAAAACAAGAACATTATATTAACCAGAATCCTGTTGAGATCTTTCAAATGCATACATTCCTCTCCTTAAATGGTTGGATTAACTTCAAGGTCACAGAAAATAGAGTTGTACATTTTTTTCCTTTGTGAACTCTTTAGAACTCAAAGATCATCTGGAGGGACCCTTCTCATTACCTATCCCATTACCTTTCCATGATTGAGGATTTATACATCCCAGAAATTTGTGGAATTTCCATGAGGACCACATGATTTTGCTCCTCTGTTTCAAAATTATTTATAAGACCCTTGCTTTCTCAAAGAAAGAAAGAAAGAAAGAAAGAAAGAAAGAAAGAAAGAAAGAAAGAAAGAAATAAGATTATGCAGCAAAATTTGGGATCACAAAGCCCATGATAGTATGGTAGTAGCTTCCCTATCAATGGGTCTTGAATGTGCTCTGGGTTTTACATCAAGTTCTTTGCCCTATATTGAATATATGATTCAGCCCTTTAGATAGCTCTCTTGAAATTTTGCCCAAATCTAGAGTGCATTCAGCACACCGCTAATATGAGAAGTTGCACTGCAAGGAAATTATCTCATCTTCTAGCTCATTCTGCCTTGAAAATACAGCCATCATTTCCATTTTTAAACTACTTTTGCTCATTTCTCTTATACTTAAGCAGTTTCATTATATCTTCTGTCTCCTAGGTCTACGTACAAACTACTACACTTACAATATCCATGAATTTAAGTGCTTCAGTGGCCCTGGGAATGCTTTACATGCCGAAAGTGTACATCATAATCTTCCACCCTGAACTAAATGTCCAGAAGCGGAAACGGAGCTTCAAGGCAGTAGTGACAGCAGCAACTATGTCTTCGCGGCTTTCACATAAACCTAGCGACAGACCCAATGGGGAAGCAAAAACAGAACTTTGTGAAAATGTAGACCCAAACAGTAAGTAGTCCTTGGACTTGTTGCTTTCTGTCCCCATATGTTGCAGAAGTTGTGTTGATGAGTACCTTCTTTTTAGAGCACACATTCAGTCCAATCTCCAGTACTGAAGATTATGCACAACTATATCTAAAGATCTTTTAATATCTGTGGGTTTCTCGTCTGCTCTTTGTCATTTCCTTCTGGGACCAACCTTCCAGGCACCTCTTCAAAATCCAAGTAATTCCTTCTCCTTCCCTCACCTTCTTTTATAGGTGGCATTCTAAGCATAAAACTATTTTTAAATAATTGATCCCAATACTCTGAATTCATATACCCTCCATGTATAGATCTTACAATCTGAAATGAAGAGACAGGCAGAAGCTGTGTGGTCTTTTTGTGTATGCCCAACTTTACTTATCCACACTTTTATTTGCATGTAGGATAAACTCCCCACCCCCACCCGCCGGTCTGCAGAGTTGTGTTAAAAAAATCAGAATTAGGGATACATACTTGAATCAATTGGCCCATCTAAACTTATCTTGAATTTAAAACAAAATTATTCAAAGAGCTGGAACACTGTCTTTTTGTCAAAAGTGAGGAAAGAGAAACTTAAGCCATGACTTATTTTGATTCAACAATTAGGTCTGACAAATATACAGTATACATAAATGCAAATATATTTGAAAAAGTTTTATGGGATTATTATCTTCATTAGGGAAAAGTCTGTATACTCTATCTCTACCATCTTAACATTTGTCAGAAATTTTGGAACATCATATAATAAAATAGAAGAAATATTGGATAGGTACTTTCAGTGCTTTGTGCTTTGTCAGTTGGATCAGAAGTCTTAATTTTGTGGAGTGTCAAAAATGCCCTTAACAGTTAGGTCAAAAACCACTTCAGTGTCGCTTTTTTAAAAAATCAAGTGATAGATCAGATTTATAGTTTGGGCATAGAAATGATAACTATACATTAAAGCTCTTAAATTTGCTTCCTCATTTTTCAGTATCTGGCTATTATATTGGGATTTCTTTTTGCAATCTTTACAACTCTATGTGTTTTCTTAAAGCAAAAAAATGCAGTAATATCTTTTTTAAAATACACACAGCTTTAAATTTCAATCAGATGTTCAACAAACATTGAAAGGGTTACTGCTTGAGTCTACACCTCCTAGAAACTCCCATTTTTTTTATAGCCAACACACATGTCCTGCTAGGAGTTGTAGTCTTCAAAATTAATACTTTCCAACTTAGCAGCTGCAAATTGTTCTAACCAGACAAATTCTCAACAAAATGAAAAATTTGAACAAGAAGATTATCCCATAGGTAAGCTATGTTTGAAATGACACTTTATTTATAATCTTTTTCCTAGTGCAGTGTGATTCCCTAGGAAATTTCTAAGAGTAAATTTGTATGTTCCATGTTATAGTCAAAGAGTGATTGCTCAGATAGTGACAAAGAAATTAATGAATCTCCCCTATAAAATATTTAGAAGTAATCTTGTTAAATTCATCTATGCAAAGTTGCTTTCTTCCACATGTATAATAATCTACTGGTATAACCCATCCCTGCAAACAGGTTCATTTCCTCATCTTAATGAAAGTTTATTGTTTACTTCCTTTCCCATGAAATAAAATATGTCACAATGCCAAATAAGTAACACCATTGTGTTAGACAGAGCTGGAGAAGGATCCTTTAATCCCACTGTGCTTAATATACAAGGGTAAGGTTTTTTTGTTTGTTTGTTTGTTTTTTGAGAAATTATTCATAAAGGGTACTCTGGCTCCTTCCATATCTCTTTTGTGCAAGGGATGAATATGTCTCATTATTTTTTAAAGCTTGTGCTCTTTCCATCCTTTTTCTGAAATAGTTTGATATATGCACACACACACACGTAAAAAGCCTGTAGGTTTTAAATACCCATTTTATGCATGTCTTTGAAATGTTGTTGTTGTTGTTGTTGTTGTTGTTGTTGTTAAGAATTTAATTACAAGGAGTGTTCGAATAATCTCTTCCATCTCAGTGTACATTGTTCCCAATCCTTGTCTTTCTTTTACCTTCTCCAAAATGACACAAAGATTGTCATGATCACATGATTCATGATCACATGGGAAAACGACTAACTGTTGAGGACACTGCAATACCAAATAGTGCTCTCTTTAAAAGGAGAGCAATGGAAGCAATGATAGAGGACCTTGGATTAGTAGTACAGTCCTCTGCCATCATGTTAATTCCCCATACTATCAGAATACCTGAATAGGAGACAAATGTATGGTTGTTTGATCATAGTTCTAATTTTCTACCTTCATTTGTAATTAGGAGAGGTGGGTACAGTGGAGCAGAGCCATCAAATGTGGTCTCATTCCATGCATTACAGTGCATGTGGAGAAAGTCTGAAAGGTCTTTTGTTCTTATGGTTGAAACAAAATGTGCTAAAGAGGTTTGAGTCGAGAGCTCCACCTAGCTTAAATTTTGGAGAAGGCCAAAGATGGAATACACCAAGGATTGTTCTGGCATAACCCCAACTAATGTCATTGTTGCTTGCTGAGAACAGGAGTTGACTCCTTGTAGCCTTAATTTAGATTCTACATTTCAGTAAGAGCCCATATTTGGTTTGCAAAGTGTGCTGTCATATGCTTTGTGGGACGAGATTTCACTTCACCATGTGTTATTTAATTTAAAGAAAAGGTTGGCTTTCGTATTTGTGGGCAAAGACATTTTCCATAAATGAATACAGCAGAAGATTCATGTACCTCCAAACATTGGTGTGTTTGGTAATCAAAAAGATAAAGATAACTATCAACTGTCTTCTTTTGCTGCCATAAATTTAGAAGTATTGCTATTATGTTCACATTTCAACTTTTATTGCATTGCATTTCAGGAAGTGAGAAAGGTACATAGGCTGCAGGTAAAGGACTCATAGTGAAGTGATGGAGACAAAAATGTAAACAAAATGGCAACTTCCACTATGTGATAAATTCATAGATACATAGATGGAAGTTTGCTTTGGGATCAGCTTAACTATAAAAGTCATGTAGTCATGATACTAACTAATAATAATTTATGCCCTATTGAGTAACTAGTATCAGAAAAGAAGTGTGTGTGAGTGAGTGGAGGTCAGTGGGATAAGCACTCAGGGACAGAAGAAAGATGTTGAACACTTCTAGTTTATGGGATAGCAGTCAATACAAAACAAATTGTTTTACAAGGAGGTTGTACAGTTTCAATTCTAAAAATAGGCCCAGATTTCATATAAAAAATAATTTGTGATGATGGCATGCCACCATCAAATTATGTTACAGAAAAAAGTATGACTGCCCCTGAGGTGCCAGCTATCTTCTTTCAAGCAGTCATGGTCATGGTATTGCCTCATCTTGTAGCAACTTCCCAGATGAGTTTTCAAAGCAGCTATACTTCCAACAGTTGTTTAGCTACGCTGTGTCTCTACCTGAAATAAAATCATGTTTAAAATATCAATAATGTTTTGAAAATGGATTCATTGTCTCTCAGAATTTTGACAAAATTCTAGACATGTGATATTTTATGTAGTTTGAATTATTCTGTGAAAAGAAAATTCAAATTTTTAGAACATTTTTTCCAGCAAAGAAAAACATTTCTATACTGAAAACATATTTCCTGTGCAGAAAATTCTATTTTCTCTGTAGGAAACTTTTCTGAATAAGAAAACTCAATTACTGTACAAAAAAAATGTTGTTTTCTGACCAAAAGTGCCATAATAAGTCCTGAACAGAAATATAATATTCAGAGCTACACAAGTTTTGATGAATTTAGAGGAACAAAATTTTAAAAACATTTACATCTCTAATAAAGAATAAATTTGATCATCATGGAATACAATTTGCAATTGCTTCTATTCCTAGAGTCTTATCCATCAACAAAGGTCCACCTTTTCTCATATTTGAGTAACTTTTTCCCTCAGCACTCCACGTTAGGAAAGTTGGAGGCAGGTAGTCTTTGGGGGGCTAGTTCAGTTCAAAGCAGAATTTAACTGATTAAGGTGCCATTGAGAACGATCATTACCTGCAACCTATGCTGAGAATTTTGATATATGTGTCTCGCTATCCACCTCAGAGTGTATAGCAATGACCTGGAATTGTGGAAAATGAAGACCAAAAATATCTGGAGGGCCACAGGTTTGACTCGTGAGATGTATAGCATGAACTGAGCACTCTACCAAAATAAAGACAGTAAGAGTAAACTGATGGAAAAGCATCAAAGTTGTCCCAGGTTCTTAGGAATGTTCTTTTACTCTTTATAATTAACATCTGATACATGCATGCTTTCTTCATTGAAGAGCCTGGCTTTGCTATTACATGTTTGCAATGTAAGGATCTGATTCTTGTGCCCTTGCTTGGAGTTTTAAAATACTTTGTAGCAGTTAATGATGCATAGAAATGTTGGACATACTGCTGTTTCCCCCCTGTGTATTCTTCTCTCATGGATTTCACCAGCTCAGTTTCATAGTATTTGATAAAGCAACATTGAATGTTCATTTCTGTAAATAAGAGTGTCTGTTCTCCTCGTTAATGTTCTTGATAGCTGTAGCAAAATTGAACTTGCACAATCCAAATAGTCATATTTCACTCAATTCAGTAGCTGTGTTGTTTTCTTTAAAGGATTAATCTCACTCTAAAATCAGCAACAGGAAAAAAGAGGGTTCCTTTGCTTAAAAGCAGAATTTTCTAACAAAGTACTTCTATTTCCTTTCTAAGAAAGTTTGAGAAACAAAATAATTTTCTTTATCAGTGCAGCATTAAAGTAAAATTGATTCCCTCCCATAAAGCTAAGTATATCTCTTGTCTCAGGTAATGGTATGGAAGTGGTGGCAAATGGAGCACCACCCACTTCTACTTCAAGTTCTTGCTACTGCTTTGAAATAGGTCTCCTTCTTGTCCCTGAAGCACCAGATTTAGCAATGTCTGTCATATTAAAGCTCCAGGAAGGAGAGTTAAAAGGCAACATGCCAACCCTTGGAACCAGTGAAATCTGTGAAAACTAGGCATTCAGTAAGATTGAATTACTGAATTCACTAAAGGCAAGTGAAGGCCTATTTGGGGTTCTTTTGCCCTTTTTAATAGTCATTCATTTTAAGATAAAACGTATCTCCCAAGGGTGCCTTGTTCTGACTCCTCTAAAATATGTATTGCCTTTTCTCAAAGACTTTGGAAAGAATGACCTTTATAAATAGGTGCCCCCTCTCCACACATCAGCTTTTAAAACAAGAACTGAACTTTTTTTTCCCACACATTTGGTAGTTTATTATATATTGGATTGTTCAAAGGGTTGCACAGTCCTCTGCAACCTGCATAAAAGCATTCTGTAATTTTGGGGGGAAATTATGATATTGTTCATGACACTTGTAATGTGGCTAAGAGAAGCAATACCTAGTGCTGATACAACTGGATGTACATTCATCTAGATTGGAAATAGAGGAGAAAGAGTCATAGAAACACCAACCACGTGTGTGTTCTCACTATTGAGTAAGTCTCAAAGAAACTCATGAAAGGGGTGAAAGAAGAACCTCTATAGGTGGAAACTCCATCAATCAAGGAAGAAGTCTACCACATGTCAACTCACTTTACTAAAAGTGGGAAAGTAGGGGAGAAGATATCCAAGTGAATCTTTCATGCTGTCCTTTTCCTATCCCCATGATAGCAGGACTTCTCATGTTTGGCATTAAGACTAAGAAAGTACTTCTGAAATGAATTCTGCAAGACTAATAAAAAAGGAACTGCAACAAAACTTTCAGTGGTGCAATGTTACAACTAAAGAAGATGTTTCTACAGTGAACGCTGTAGAAATATATTTAAAATCAATACAATATAGACTATTCCAAGTCTGAGTGTTCCTTGCTGACCTGAAATTTTGCATCTGCTAATAAAATGAGATTCATAAGCTATTTAATTTTTTTAAAATGTTCACATCTATATAAATAAAAATGTAATGTTAGTTTGTGGGATTAACATAAGTCAAAAACCACTGGACAAATTGACACCAAATTTGGACACAATACACCTATCAGGCCAATGAGTGATCATCACTCAGGAAAACACTGAAAAACATAGCAGAAGAGACTTAAAAAGCCAAAAAACAAAAATTACATTATAACACATGCACAAAACCACACATATATATGCAAACACACATATATACACAAATATATATACACAACAAACACATCTACACAGTCTGACCCACAGCAAAGCATGGCAGGAGACAGCTAGTGCACATATAAATAAACAGTATGGTGTATGGCTCATGTTATTGGCAAATAGTATTTTGGGCTGTGAAATATCAATCCTGTTGAAATGTTGTTCATCTCTTTTTTATTTACAGTCAACTGGAACAGTTGGCTCCTTGATTACTATAAGTTATACAGCAAAAGGAAGCTGATGCATAACATATTCAGTGGATATGTTTGATATAGTCCATTCCTTCCCTTTTATGCTTCTCTACTGTTAGTTACCAGAGATCATTATTCTACCGGTAGTGGTGCATTAAATTCCAAAATTGAAATCCTCTGTGATGTCTACCTCCACAATATTAAAAACTCTAGGAATGAAATCCAGTAAATCTCCATTTAGGCTGCCTATAAGGTTAGGATTGAGAATATACGTTGTCTGAAGATTCCTGTAAATCATTGTGAATGATGTACACATGGAATGAAAACATTTCATAGTCTACTTCACGGAATGAAATTGACCCAGCTCTACAAGTTCTGCTGTACTGTGCTGTCTCATTTTTATTTATTCATTTGTATTGGCTATAAAACTCATTGACATATTGTTGCCTATTTCATCTTTGGAAGCCTGGAATGTTGTAAGGAATTGTAAAACTGCCCCTATTGACCTGGTTTAGAAGACAGTAAAGACTGGCTACTTAACTGAAGAGGAATGAACTCTCTCTGCAATATTCAGTTACTACAAGTAATTCTAGGGTTGTCTGGAATGCATCCAGTCATCCAGCTCCTGTTATATGGGCATCTTCTTCTATGTTCAGAGATATCTGAACCTTCGGGGGGTGGGGAGTGTTTTTCAATTCTTGTTTTGTTTTTATTCAACATACAGGATAATTTGTGCTTGAACTATCCCACTATCTTTATAATATGAAAAAAAAACTAGTTCATAAAAAATAAATAGCATGTTCTATCTAAACATCTCAATTATATAAATCAATATATTTACTTTTCCTATAGACTGCATACCACCTGTAAGAAAGAGTGTACAAAAATCTGTTACATGGTACACTATTCCACCTACAGTATAGCTCTTGCCTGCTTTCTTAGAAGGTAAGACAAAGCTCTAACTTTTATACTGCTTCAATTAAAAACTATTTGCATTAAAATGTTAAAAATGTCTAATGGCTTTAATGAAGTAGGATGATAATGGAACTAAAACTGAGAATGGAACCTCAGCTTGTTCTTAATCTCACAATAATAAAAATCAATAAACAAGGAAGTAATATGGAAATGAAAATTTTAGAACACTGCACTGTTTCACAACAGCTTTTTCATGGCCATTTCACCCCCGGTCTCAAATATTAACATCATTTAAAGGTTTGAGTATGGGAGTTTTTTAAATATTGACTGAATTGTTGATGGGTAAAGGTTATGTGGTAAAATGGAACTTGAAAGGAATGAAGTTGAAGCAGATGACTTTCCTTCAATAGAAAATGGATCTTCCACTCCTTTATGCAAACACAGTTACTGCCATAACTTGGGCCCCATCTACACTGACCAACTAATTTAGTTATATGTAGCTAGCTTTAAACCACAGTGGCTGGACAACAAACTCAAATAAAAGTGGGCAAAAGAAAACCTTTAATGTGAACCAGAGCTCTGTGGTTTGTACAATAATCATTCAGACCTCAAACTGGTTCCTTGGTTTCCTTTGTAATCATCTGCACCACTTTCATCTATACTGGTTTGAAACTACATTAAATGGTCAGTGTAGATTGGGCCTAGATGAGAACTGCAATTCAAAATTGTAGTTAGTGGCCAAGATAAAAGGGTCTACATCTAGTACTAACAGAATCAGACCTTACAATCCTCCAGCAGAAATATACTTTTGGATATGATTGGAAATGAAACCTCTCATATGATATCTATACTTAGGTCTGTTAAGAGTTATGAACTAGGAGAACTGTAAGCATCTTCATATAACTCACCATGGGGGAGGGGAGGTCCAACATTTGTAAAATCAGGCATGTCTCCTTGGGACTGTTGAGTCTCTGAACATGCCCCCAGTCTCTATTCCAATATGCAGATCAGTTTTGCCATGTGACTGGAAACCTACAGGCAGTTATTGTTATTGGATAGGAAATACAATTCCACACCCTTAAGTTCCCTCGACATTTCAAACATTTGGCTACCATCACCCATCTACCCCCCCCCCCCAATTAAACACATGCATTCATTAAATGTATAGAAGAAAAGGCCACATGAAGCCATTTATATGTATGGATTATACTGTTTAACACATTCCATGAGTTCCAGCTAAGTATATTGCTATGATTGTAACTAATTTATGAAAGCATTCAATGTTTATAATGTAGGGAAAGGGGAAAACATTTTCAAACTAAAAGAACGTGCCACGAGGGTTGTCAGTAGAATTTAGGTGAAAGTTTGAAATGAAAACATGTGATACAAAAATGTGTTAATTTTTTAGATAGAACCTTAAAAATGTACTGAGCATGCAGCAAATAATTGTGTTTTTGTTAAAGATAATTCTGTAGACAGCTTTTTAAAAATTGTTTCAAATTGTTCAATTGTTCCGAAAGAATGAAAAGTTAGGAGTTTTGAAAAGTATGGATTATTTTTATAACAGACACAATAACCTAGTGTAGCACATTTTCATTTTGGTTTTTGATGGGAAAAAAGAAGTTGAAAGGACAAGGATAAATATGGGTTAATAAAATGAAAAAAAAAAACCATGGAGAAAAACATCCCCTTCACATGTAGGAAATAACCATGTTGTAGAATCTTTAAAAACAACCACATGGTTCTAATTTAGTAAAGGCACAAGAAATGAAACTGATATACATAGCACAAGGAAGTGGAGATGTCAAAGAGAGTGGCTATTATGTCTAATAAAGACTGAAGAATGCTGTGCTTTTGGATTTAAATGTTGAATTTATGCTGGTTTCTAAAAGCATTTTTGTAATTTGGATAGCTGGATACTTCATATTATTTTCCAAAAGGAAAATAGATTATTTATTAACACAGGCTGGAATCCTTTGGGGTCATTGTGTATTCATAAGTGCCCTAGCATATATTGCGTCCGCAAGGAACCGTCCGGCAGAACTGTTTCGAGTAGTCTCTGGTTGTTGAATCCCACCTCTGGTTCGAGTAGTCTCTGGTTGTTGAATCCCACCTCGAGTGGGTCCCCTGACGACTCGGCAGCGCACTGTGAAGCATTTGCTCAGTACTTTGCGGACAAAGTCGCTTTGATCTGCGCGGGCTTTGACACCACATTAACTGCGGTCTCTGAGGATGTAACTCAAGCATCTGCTTGTCCAGTTTTGTTGGATTCGTTTCAATCTGTTCAACTCGACGAGGTCATCAGGGTTCTGGGAGAGGCGAGACCTACCACATGCATCCTAGACCCCTGCCCTTCCTGGCTGGTAAAAGAAGCCAGAGGGGGTTTGGCAGAGTGGGTAAAGGTGTGGTTAATGCCTCCTTCGGGAAGGCAAGATTCCAGCCAGCCTAAAACAAGCCGTAATTAAACCGCTGTTGAAAAAACCATCACTAGACCCCACTCAATTCGTCAACTTTCGGCCAGTTTCCAATCTCCCCTATTTGGGCAAAGTCTTGGAACGTGTGGTGGCCTCGCAACTCCGGGAATTCCTGGTGGACACAGACTATCTAGATCCGGCACAGTCGGGCTTTAGGCCGGGACATGGTACTGAGACAGCCTTGGTCGCCTTAGTTGATGATCTGCGCCGGGAACTGGACAGGGGGAGTGTGTCCCTGTTGGTTCTACTGGACCTCTCTTCGGCCTTCGATACCGTCGACCACGGTATCCTTCTGGGACGCCTCGCGGGAATGGGTCTCGGGGGTACTGCCTTGCAGTGGCTCCGGTCCTTTCTCAAGGGTCGCTCCCAGAAGGTGTCACTAGGGGACTCCTGCTCGACTCCTCGGCCATTGCACTGTGGAGTCCGGCAGGGCTCAATACTGTCCCCTATGTTGTTTAACATTTACATGAAGTCGCTGGGAGAGATCATCCGGAGTTTTGGGGTGCGATGTCATCTGTACGCAGATGATGTCCAACTCTATCACTCTTTTCCACCTACCACTAAGGAGGCTGTGAACCGGTGCTTGGCCGCTGTCTCGGACTGGATGAGGGACAACAAATTGAAACTAAATCCAGACAAGACAGAGGTACTCCTGGTCAGTCGTAAGACCGAACAGGGTACGGGGTTACAGCCTGTGCTGGACGGGGTCACACTCCCCCTAAAAGCTCAGGTACGCAGTCTGGGAGTTCTCCTGGATTCATCGCTGAGCCTGGAACCCCAGGTCTCAGCGGTGGTCAGGGGAGCTTTCGCACAATTAAAACTTGTGCGCCAGCTGCGTCCGTACCTTGGGAGGGCTGACTTGGCCACGGTAGTACACGCTTTGGTTACATCCCACTTAGATTACTGCAACGCTCTCTACGTGGGGTTGCCTTTGAAGACTGCCCGGAAGCTGCAGCAAGTCCAACGCGCGGCAGCCAGATTACTAACAGGGGCTGGATACAGGGAGCACACCACTCTGCTGTTACGCCAACTCCACTGGCTGCCAATTAGCTTCCGAGCACAATTCAAAGTGCTGGTGTTGACCTATAAAGCCCTAAATGACTCTGGCCCTGTTTACCTCTCCGAACGTATTCTCCCCTACGAACCATCAAGATTACTAAGATCATCTGGAGAGGCCCTGCTCTCGGTCCCACCAGCCTCGCAAGCGCGCCTGGTGGGGACGAGGGACAGGGCCTTCTCGGTGGTGGCCCCGTGACTCTGGAACTCTCTCCCTCTGGAGGCCAGAACCGCCCCATCCATCCTAACATTTAGGAAACGGGTGAAGACGTGGCTGTGGAGTCAGGCCTTCGAGGAATGAGACAACACCATAGGACTCTGGATGGAAGTGGATATAGATCCATCTTATTAGGACGACTGACCACTGTAGTTTTATATTTAGTGTTTTTAAAGTTGTTTTGTAATTTGTGATATATGATATTTTAATGAATGTATATGTTTTTATGGCTGTAAACCGGGCTGAGTCCCTCAACGAGGTTGAGAAGCTCGGTATACAAAACTGTGAAATAAATAAATAAATAAATAAATAGCATCTATGAGAAATAGAATTTCAAAGATGTCCAGTGTCCATAGTAAAGGATGCTGTTACATAACTACATACCAGAAACAACAAAGGGACTGTGAGAGGGTCCAGTGTTCTCCATAGGCAGGGGGACATCATAAGAGTGGTCATCCATTCTGTCAGTTGTTTTTTTTTTTGGATGCTCAAAACCAACTTTTATTGAAACACATAAACCAAGAACTCTTTGCAATTCATTAGGTACACATACAAAGGTACTTTCCCCCATTTGCCAAACTTTTCCCAGACTTCACAACCTACAAGTTGGACTCTCTTCATCTTCTTGCAAAGTTCCCCCCAAAAATTCATTGAAACAGGAAAAAAAAACATTCTGTCAGTTGTTTACGACAAATAAGACTCAGACAGCTGTTTGACATACTCCTGGTAGCTCCTTTATTTCGGACTCCGACAAATCAAATCTAACAGAGCTTCTCCTTCCACTCCCCCTCTTATCCCTCTTCCTTTTACTCCTCTCTCTCTCCTTCCAATTACTCCACATCTGATTCAGCGTCCTTGGATCTTTCTGATGATTTAAAGGAACAGCTTCTTTCCAACTTCTGGGTGGGACCCTCCACTCTCTCCCCGTTACAGAGACCTATACACATAGAGTAGTCTCTCTGGCATCCCATTACTCCTCTTCTCAATTCAATAACCAGGTTTCTTAGCACCTTTGATACTTAGGTAAATGAACACACATTTATGTTGTGTGAATGGCAATACAAGATTCTGGCAACTTAACTGCAAATAAATAAACACTGAGTTCTAAAAATGTTTCTTATTCAGTAATAGCCAACAATTCCTTATTTTGTTAACACTTAAATCTATATAATTACCATTTGTTTTTGTTTTAATTAAACTGGGCAGTATAACATTCAATCTTTGGGTAATACTAGAGGTACAAATCATGTCACTTGTTGTATTACAACTTTAAGCATTCATTA